CCAGGGGCGATGTTGTTTGGTGTAGGAGTTAACTGGAAGAAAGCTAGGGGGTCAAACCAAAGATCGTTGCTGCTACCTTGACGTGGTGGTCGGGCTTGCCTATCGTGATGAAGCAATCGATCTATACTGGCTGGAACAATCGTTCTTCGAGGTCCTACCATGCCAGACAGGTCGGTTGAAGAGCGGTGAGACTAAAAGCAGCAAACCCAAGATCCGAAGGCGAAGTCGTACTGCTGACTGTACAGAGGTGTGACAGCAGTAAGGTGTTTCCTTCAGACAACCAGCATGACAGCGATGCTGCCTTCCCACAAGGAGGGGTGGGGTTAGAAAAGGTCGACCCTAAAAATGCACACCTCGCCTTATCCCACGGATATCCGTCTCCGGCGGTAAGGACTTTTGAAGAACGGAGCTAACACAAAAACTACCCACAAAAAGGTCGTGTGTGACCGGCCTCAAGCAGTTGTCCCTTGGGCACTGCAGTCACGCTCTCAGGTCATTAAGACCACTTCTAACCCAATTTCCTTTTCAGGTACCTCTAGAAGAATTCTTCCACGGTGTGGGCAACCGGGAAGTGATAACTGCCCTCATACCTCTAACAACACTCAAGACCACTGTATTCATAATCAATCTCCTTCTTCACTTCCTACTATTCCTTCTACCTTGACTTTCAACACTAAACTTCCTGTTCCGGTTTCCTCCTCAAGTGTCACCATGGCCAACGATTCTAGTGCGCGAAACGCTGTCTCAGGTCTACTAAAACCTCGCTCCAAACTACACATTGGAGCCTTCAACGTACGTACCCTATGCCAAATCGGTCAACAGGCCTCCTTATCTAAAACTCTAAAATCTCGTACCATTGATGTATGCTGTGTCTCCGAAACACGCATACAGGATCCCAGTGTGGTCATTCACTTGACCTCACCTCGCCAAAATGGACAGCCGACGAAATACACCCCCCGTTGGCTAGTTCTCGCGGACTTGCAGGTGTAGGCATAGCACTAAGTACAAGGGCAGAACAGGCACTACTAGAATGGATCCGTGTTAACAGTCGCCTGTGTGCTGTCCGGCTGAATGGCTCCGTAAGAACTCGGAAGGATTGGGACACACTTCGTTGCCTTTTCGTCGTTTCTGCCTACGCTCCCACTGACTGCAGCCATGATGAAGTAAAAGATGACTTTTACAGAAAACTCTCTGAGCTTCTTCAGAAAGCTAAGCGCTCAGACATAGTAGTCGTAGCGGGTGACTTTAATGCCCAGGTAGGCAGCTTAAATCAAACGGAAAGACATTTAGGTGAATGTTTTAGTATTCCGGCTCAACGAACCGATAATGGTGATCGTCTGTTGCAACTATGCTCAGACAATCGTTTATTTTTAGCAAGCACTAATTTTAAACATAAGGAGAGACATCGTCTAACATGGCGACCACCTGCACCAAACCAACGATGGACTCAAATAGACCATATTGTCATCAGTCATCGTTGGAGAGGCTCAATAGAAGATTGTCGCTCGTATTGGAATACTTGTTTAGACTCTGATCACGCTTTAATACGAGCGCGCATTTGTCTGCGCCTCAATGGACGCAGGAAAAGTACACTAAGAAGACCCGTTAGGATTGAACTGGAGGACGAGAAAGCCAAATGCGAATTCCAGAAACAACTGAGTTCACATCTAGGCAGTTCTGTAAACAAGACTGACCCAGATACTGCTTGGAAAGACATACGAACAGCTGTGGAAACAGCAGTAACATCTATTAGTCATTTAAACCATAGGGCTCCAAAAAACCAGTGGATTTCCTCTAAATCTATTTCATTGATGGATTCGCGTAAACTCATCCCATCAGGCTCTGAACATGACGAAGAGCGTAAAGAAATTAGATCTAGGTTAACTAAAAGTCTAAGGAACGATCGTGAGCAGTGGTGGGCAACGAAAGCAAAAGAGATGGAAAAGGCAGCGGCTGTAGGCAACACCAGGCAACTATCCAGACTAATAAAAGAAACCGGAATTAAAAAGTCAAGTGTAAGTGAGACAATCTCGGAAAAAGACGGAACCCTTATCTGCTCTCAACCTAAACGTTTAGATTGATGGGCGGAACACTTTAAGGAGCACTTTAGCTGGCCTTCAGCTACTGCACAACTACCCACTATTCCTAGAAAACCTGAATGGAACATTGAAGTAGGCCCCCCGACCCTACTTGAAGTTCAAAAGGCTATAGGTAATCTGAAACGAGGAAGAGCAGCTGGTCCAGATGGATTGGCTCCAGAGGTCTTTAAATATGGTGGTCCGATTTTAGCGATTAGGTTGACTAATATTCTGGCTAAAATCTGGGAGACGGATGTAATCCCATCCGACTGGTCACAATCACTGATTGTCCCAATATATAAGAAGGGTTCAAAATCATCCTGCGATAACCATAGAGGGATTAGTCTGACTAACATAGCATCTAAAATACTAGCCTCATTAATTATCGGGCGCCTAACTAAGACTCGTGAACTGCAAACACGAGAAAATCAGGCTGGCTTCTGACCTAGTCGTGGCTGTATCGACCACATATTCACCATTCGTCAAGTTTTAGAGCACAGACACGCTTATCGGCGTCCGACAATGATAGTTTTCCTTGACTTGAAAGCAGCATTTGACTCTGTAGACCGAGGGGTTCTGTGGCAGTGTCTGTCATTGAAAGGTGTACCTGAGAAGTACATAAACCTTGTGAAGGCTCTTTACTCGAACACTACCAGTCGAGTGAGAGCTTATGGCGAACTGTCATATGATTTTGCAACCTCAAGTGGTGTCCGTCAAGGCTGTCCACTATCCCAATTTTTGTTTAACTTCATTATATACCTGTTGCTGGAAATAACACTCTCGTCGACTGAATTTTTAGGAATTGATCTCCTACCAGGGCTACCACTAAGCGACTTAGAATACGCAGATGACATAGTCCTGTTTGGTGAAGACGCTGACAAAATGCAGAGTCTTCTGTTGGGACTGAGTAATAATGCCAGGATGTTTGGGATGCGTTTCTCCCCATCCAAATGTAAATTGTTACTCCAGGACTGGCCTGCGTCAACACCCGAACTAAGGATAGGGAGTGAAGTAGTCGAACGCGTCGACAACTTCACTTATCTTGGAAGTCTGATCAGTCCTAATGGGTTGGTGTCTGACGAAATCTCAGCACGGATTCAAAAAGCTCGTTTGACTTTTGCCAATTTACATCACCTATGGCGTAGACGAGATATCCGTCTATCAATTAAGGGACGAGTATACTGCGCATCAGTTCGCTCTGTTCTACTTTACGGTTGTGAAACATGGTCATTAAGAGTAGAAGATACTCGTAGGTTACTAGTATTTGACCACAGATGCCTTAGAAATATTGCTCGCATCTGCTGGGATAACTGGGTAAGTAATAGTGAGGTTAGACGCAGGGTATTAGGGAACGATGGTAAATCAGTTGATGAGGTGATGAATCTTCATCGACTGAGATGGTTGGGTCATGTGTTACGTATGTCTGAACACCGATTACCACGACGCGCAATGCTGACTAGTATTGGGGACGTTTGGAAGAGAGTTAGGGGCGGCCAAACCAAAACATGGCATCAGTGTTTGAAGTCACTAACTTCTGGTCTGAGCCTTGTTGGCAGATGCAGACTACCTGGTTGGGGTCCGGGTGACTATCGTAACCAATGGTTGGAGACTGTGGGTGACCTGGCTCAGAATTGATCACAATGTCGTAGGTGTATACACTCTTTATCTTCCCTTAAACCTTGAGATTAAAATTGCTTCATATCTGTTTTCCTTCCTATAGTATATCGTTATATACAACTTATCTTTTATATACTGCCACCACTGAATTAACTATTTCTATGAATCCGGTGTTGATCTTGTTGTGCTAACGCGGTATGGCAACTTGGACAGATGCATATATGTACCTGGTCCTACGTTGTAGCTGACTGACTGACTGACAAACCAAAGATGACATCAATCCATGAAGTCATTGATAATTGGATTGAACTATGTTAATTGGTGTAGACTACTTGGTTGGAATCTACGTGATTGTTGTGACCAATGGCTAGAGACTTTAAATGATATAGCTCAAGACTGTTTGCGATGGTACATGTGCATCTGTTCTTTTTCTCCCTCCAAATTTTGAGCTTCTAAATTCCTTATAACCATTTTTTGTGTTTATTTCGCTAATTTATGTTTTGTTGCCGAATCATATGTTCGATGCCTAATCTTTTCAATCACCACTGATACTATTATTATGCTCACTGCTTAGGAGCCCCCTAATAGGATGAAACGGCCGTCCAGTGCTTCCAGGTTTTCCATGGTGGTCTACCTTCAATTGGCTCATGATTTCAACTATGAAAATATTACTACCTTCACTATTCTTGGATTTTACCTTACAATTTTATCTCTCTGTGCTAATGCGGTATGACAATTTGAACCGATATATACACACATACCAGGGTTCTACGTTATGACTTACTAAATCAAGCCTTCATCTAGTCAAGATAATGCGGCACTATCAAAAAGTCACTTTTTCCGCCAAACATCTTACGCAATCATTTTATGTGATTGATGCGTGTGCGAGAATGATAATTATTGGTTGTTTCGCTGAGTCAGACATGCGGATATTGTGATAGGTGTTATATGTGTTATATATATTCCCCTATCCTTATTATGTATTGACTGTTCCTTGTTGTTGGATTTTGTCGGATTTTGGTGTAGAAATATATTGACGTTATAGTCAGGTTAATCTCGTGTTCTTGATCTGAGTTGTGTTGAAGTCCTGTAGAATAGACACTGAGTAGGAATCTAGTGTAGATATTCGTCTAAGGTAAATTAGCGTCCCACATACGTGTTAAAGTGAAAGAACTGTTATAACAAGAAACCCTAGAGTTATAACAAGTATCCTTACGTTTATGACAGTAATACTCTGTTGTTATCGTTGTTTTCTTTTCTTGACGATATTGACTGTAGTTTTGTTCTACTTTTTTTTGTTTATAGAATCCTTCAAATATTAAAACTTATCAAGAAACAACAATGAAACATATTTCATTACCAATCAAAACTAATACATTAGGAATTGGTGATTCGTCTTTAACAAAAAAGAGTACATCAAAGAAAAACAATCAAACATCAAATACTCTCTTGACGAATTACAATAAAATTGTAAATAAAGATGATACAGATTTATTATTCGACGATATCAAATTCAATGTGATGTCTGAATCAAATGTTAGTTGGTATATTTTTGTTCTAATTTTCTTACTTATTTGAAGCATTTTATTCATGAATACATATAGTAATAGTAGTAGTGTAGTGTGGTCTACTTATATCCATATAAGTAGTATATGACAATGGTCAGACATAGAATGTATTTTGGTAGAAGACCAATAAGGAAAGAACTGAAATGAAGCGCAATTGGTGGAAAAATGCATGAACAATGGAATTAGAGAAGATGAACTGATATTTACAGAAGGAATAACTAAGATTGAGACAATTGGTTGTTAATTTGCAAATTAACTGTTCATTGTATGATAAGCAGAGATGGATAGTGGCTAGCAGTGTAATCGACGATGATAAAGATCAGTTCTATGAAAGGCTGTAATCAATTATAGAGAAGTGCTCACGAAAGGACCTCACCATTTTGATGGGAGATCTAAATGCTAAAGTTGGAGTGGACAACACAGGATATGAAGATGTAATTGGACGACATGGATTAGGAGAGAGAAATGAAAATAAGGAAAGAGACTTGCAAGCCTATGTGCATTCAACAAATTGGTCATAGGCGATACAATATTCCCACACAAAGCTACATGAATCTCACCGGACCAAACCACAGAGAACCAGATAGATCACATCTGTATCAACAAAAAATTCCGAAGATCAATGGAAGATGTGAGAACCCGAAGAGGAGCTGACATAGCTTCAGATCACCACCTGGTTGTAGTCAAGATGAGACTGAAGCTTAAGAAACACTGGACAACTGGACAAACAGCACTACAAAGGTTCAATACAGCCTTTCTTCGAGATACTGACAAGCTCCATGAATTCAAGATAACTCTCAACAACAGGTTCCAAGCTCTACAGGATCTACTGAAAGAACAAGAAACTACTTTGGAGGACAACTGGAAAGGGATAAAAGAAGCACTAACTTCAACGTGTCAGGAGGTTCTTGGTCCTAAGAAGCATCATCACAAGGAATGGATCTCTATGGGAACCCTGGACAAAATTCAAGAAAGGAAGAACAAGAAACTAGCAATTAACAACAGCCGAACACGAGCAGAGAAAGTCAAAGCACAATCAGACTACGCAGAAGCAAACAGAGAAGTGAAGAAAAGCATTAAAGCCGACAAGCAGAAATACATGGGAGAACTAGCAACGGCGGCGGAAAAAGCTGCAAGAGAAGGGAATATGAAACAACTATATGATACAACGAAGAAATTGGCAGGGAGATATAGCAAACCAGAGAGACCAGTCAAAAACAAAGAAGGAAAGACAATCACTGAGATTCAAGAACAGAGGAAAAGATGGGCAGAATACTTCGAGGAACTGCTGAATAGACCAGCCCCATCGAACCCACCGAACATCGAATCAGCCTACACTGACCTTCCTATAGATGTCACTCCACCAACGATCGAAGAAGTCAAAATGGCCGTCGGACAAATCAAAAGTGGGAAGGCGGCAGGACCTGACAACATACCAGCAGAAGCATTGAAGTCAGACATTGAAATAACTGCAAACATGCTTCACCTTGTATTCAAGAAGATTTGGGAAGAGGAACAAGTGCCAATGGACTGGAAAGAAGGATATCTCATCAAGATACCAAAGAAAGGAGATCTGAGTCAATGTGAGAACTACAGAGGCATCAGTTTGTTGTCAGTACCAGGAAAAGTCTTCAACAGAGTGTTGCTGAATCGGATGAAAGACGCAGTAGACGCCGAACTTAGGGGTCAACAGGCTGGATTCCGTAAGGATCGGTCGTGCACATGTGGTGTGGTCTACTTATATCCATATAAGTAGTATATGGTGTGGGTCAGACATAGAATGTAATTTAGCAGAAGACCGATGAGGAAAGAACTGAAATGAAACGCAAACGTCTGGAAAATGCATGAGCAATGGAATAAGAGAAGAAACAGTGAAGATTGAAACAATTGGTTGTTAATTTGCAAATTCTAGCTTCAATTGACTCATGATTTCAACTGTGAAAATTTGCAAATTGACTGTTCATTGTTTAGTAATCAGAATTTATTAAGATAGTCTGTAATCTTTGCTTAAATACATTCGATTGTCCCCAACCAGTGTTTTGTTCACTACACACAGACCAGAATGCGACACTACGGATCATCGTCTAACAATCAGTTGAGTGGAACTCATCACTATACGTCAACTTCATTGACTATGAGAAGGCGTTTGACAGTGTGGACAGGAGAACATTATGGAAACTTCCTCAACACTATGTAGTTCCTGAAAAGATTGTCAACATTATCCAAAACTCATACGATGGACTACAGTGCAAAGTGTGCATGGAGGACAGCTGACAGATGCATTTCCAGTAAGGACCGGAGTTAGACAAGGCTGTCTACTCTCCCCATTCCTCTTCCTTCTAGTGATTGACTGGATTATGAAGAATTCGATATCTGAAGGGAAATACGGAATACAATGGACTTCTCAGAATCAATTAGATGATTTGAAATTCGTAGATGACCTAGCCCTCCAATCTCATACACACGAACAAATTCAGACGAAGACAGCAAATGTAACAGCAGCCTCTGCACCAATAGACCTCAACATACACAAAGGAAAAAGCAAGATTTTCAAATGCAACAAGGAGAACACCAACCCAATCACACTTGATAGAGAAACTCTGGAAAAGGTGGAAACATTCACGTACCTATGTAGCAGCATCATTGATAAACAAGGAGGATCTGATGCAGATGTAAAGGTGTGGAGTGGCAAAGCAAGGACAGCATTACTACGATTGAAGAACATATGGATCTTCAAACAACTCTCAACTAATTTCAAGGTGAGAATCTTTAATACGAACGTCAAGACAGTCCTACTGTACGGAGCTGAAGCGTGGAGAACTACTGCGACCATCATCAGGAAGGTACAAGTATTTACAAACAGTTGTCTACGCAAAATACTCAACATCCATTGGCCGGATACCATCAGCAACAGCCTACTGTGGGAGAGGACAAACCAGCTTCCAGCTGAAGAGGAAATTAGGAAAAGACGTTGGAAGTGGATAGGACATACACTAATGAAATCACCAATGTGTATTACAAGGCAATCCCTAACTTGGAATCTTGAAGGGAAGCGGAAAAGAGGAAGACCAAAGAACACACTACGCCGGGAAATAGAAGCCGATATGAAAAGGATGAATGTTGACTGAAAAGAACTGGAAAGGAAGGCTCAGGACAGAGTTGGATGGAGAATGCTGGTGAGCGGCCTATGCTATTCGACGAGGGGTAACAGGCGTAAATAAGTTATCTGATTAGATTGTTCATGCATTTTCATACCGATTGTGCTTCATTCCTGTTCTTTCCTTATCGATCTTCTGCCAAAATACATTCTATGTCTGACCATCACCATATACTACTTATGTGGATGTAAGTAGACCACACCACAGTTGATCGGTTAAGTGCTCTGGCGCGAGACTGATAGGTCCTGGGTTCAAATCTCGCGAGGCGAAGTCGTGGATGCGCTTTGCTGAGGAGTCTCACAATAGGACGAAATGGCCGTCCAGTGCTTCCAGGTTTTCCATGGTGGTCTAGCTTCAATTGGCTAATGATTTCAACCATGGATCAATAATGTTTGAGTTTTCATTACTCTATGTTAAAAAAAGCGAGGCGAGGAAGTTAACAACAAGAAGTAAAGTATAAAATAATATCATTTGGAGTGGAAAATTGAACATGAGAAAAATATAGTACAAAAGATAAAAATGAAATCGATAGGTAAGAAATGAATGCAACTCTGTCGCTGGGACTAATTTTACACCATATCACTTAACGTATCTAATCATTGATTTCGAGTATTATTATATGAGCTTTAATCATCTGATCCTGGATTTTCCAGCAACATAACTCAGATCACAATTTGTAACGTCATGGAACGATCATACATATTGATTTACTCACCTCTAACATTTTTCAGATTATTCTTTTACTGGCCAACATTGTACGTCATGGTGACCATGCATAACTCCTTTCCTAAACAACTTGATAGATTAAGGTGTAAAGCTTCATGATTTAACTCACCTTACGTACTTCACCAAAGCTGATAAGATCTGTAAAACTAGTTGACTGTTCAACCTTTTTGACTACCTCAATGCATATTGTCAAACAAGGCAAAACATAGTCCTTATGCGAAATTGTACATTAACGTCAAGGGAAAGACATCTTTAAAATCCTTGCATTGTTATTCATAGCATTCAAGGCACTCTGTATGGTGGACACGGAAAGTCCACCTAGGAAAGTTGGAAAACCCTGATTCCAAACCAACGGTGCACATGGGCTCCAGGATCGTGAACCAATCGTTGGTCACCGTCTAACATGAAACTGCATCTCCTTACGATGCTCCACTGCCTTGTGGATCAGATCTTTAGGTCAAAGGCTCCGGGCGTGACTCCCTAAGAAAAGCACCTGCTTGAGCTTGAACACTCGAGCAGTATCACAGCCCTCACACAAATCGAATGATTGATTTGATGCATATCTATTTGGTGCCTCCTTGCACCAACGTTTATGTGTTTAAATACAAGAAAAAAAAAATACTCTGTATGGAAATCAATCCTTGAAAAATCAGATAAATGAAAATAACATATTGTACACATTTAGTTATCATAATTGTAATGTTGATTAGTAGATTTCAATATGTGGTTGTTGAGATTGTCGAATTTTATTGAAATCATGAACCGACCAGTATTCGATCATCATAGAAAACTTTGAAACACTGGACAGCCATTTAGTTTTAGTATGGGACTCCTCAACAGTGCGCGTCCACTATCCCGCCACGCGAGATTCGAACTCGGGACCTATCAGTGTCGCGCGCTAGTGCTTAACTACTAGACCGCTGAGCAGGCATTCGACAGTGTTAATGTCTAACTTCAATCAATCCACGATGTTTGAGCAACCGTTCATCAATTGTCTTCAGTGAATTGATATCTCACAACAGACCTGGTTGAATTCCAGATTTTCCATGGTGGTCTAGCTTCAATTGACTCATGATCTCAACTATATAAAATTATCAGAAGAGGGTTTTGTGGAAATTTTAGTAATTTTATATAGTTAAACTCATGAGTCAATTGAAGCTAGACCACCATGGAAAACTTGGAAGCACTGGATGGCCATTTCGTCCTATTATGGGACTCCTCAGTAGTGCACATCCATGATCTCGAATTCAATTAGTCAATATGTTGTACCATAATCATATATTTCTTTTCTCATTATCTTAGTCCATGGAATTCAGACTTGTAGGATATTTTCCATTGTAATTACTTCATCTTTGTTTGTATGTATAATAGACGAATAGACTAATAGTTGTGTTAAACGTATTATTCCATTAACTAAATAAAATCAATGATAATAACCTGTAGAGGGGGGGGAAGGAAGGCTGAGACAAAAATATAATAATCATTTCTTTTGTCAATTTAGTTCTGTTTCTACGTAATACTGTATATCCAATTTACTTTCCTCTCTGTCTGTACCAAATTTGCTTAATTACGAAATGAATAGTTTATACGTTAAATGACTAGGTCTGGATATACAAATATACAATAGTTGTAAATAAGTTCATCATAGACGGTTTTTTTGTTTTACACAGAAAGACAAAAAAAGCTCTTTTTATTGGCCTCGATTTGAAGACATAACTTGTTTCTAAAACAATAAATTTCTAAATTCACTTAGTATTTCATAGTTGAAAGCATGAGTCAACTATGAAACATACCAAATCTTCACAAAACCCCTTCACTTAGTATTGTTTAGTTGAATATTCCCATTGATGTTTAGGACTACAATTGATCAGTCTCTTATTGACATGTGTACATACTGTACGTATTTGCCTCTATATAACCTTAATTCATCCCATTACACAAGCAAGTGGTTATCAGGACTCAGTAGCTAAGTGGATAACACGATAACGTTTGAAGCGAACGGTACTGGGTTAGAGTCCCATAGTGAACATCAACTCTGTGATGCAGGTACATCCAGGTGACGAGTCCCAAATAGGACGAGACGTGCATCCTGGATTCCACTGCTAGCCACTTTTCATCTTTGCTTATAATAAATTACTGTTTTAAATTTATGATTATTGAATAAGAATTCCTAATTATATTTTATTTTTATAGAATGCAATAAATAGTTAGTTAAAAATATTGGGTTATATTTTAAATTTTCTATTTTATACACACATTAAAAGGATTTATACAAACAAACTTTTCTAGGTTAATTATAAAACTGGACGGCCTTTTCGTCCTATTATGAGACTCTTCAGCAGTGCGCATCCACGATCCCGCACTTGCGAGATTCGAACCCAGGACCTACCAGTCTCGCAACAGAGCTCTTAGCTAATCATTTGCTCACTAGTCACTGACTTCGAGAGGTAAATCCAGGAGTTCTAGTGAGAAGCAGTGACCAATGGAGTTCAAACCACGTCTGTTCTGAGATATCAACTCACTGAAGACAGTTGGTGGACGGTTGCTCAAAAAGCACCATGGATTGGTTGAAGTTAGACATTAACACCGTTGGATGCTGGCCAGCTCAGTGGTCTATCGGTTAAGGGCTCTGGCTCGAGACTGGTAGGTCCTGGATTCGAATCTTGCGAGGCGGGATCGTGGATGCAGATTGCTGAGGAGTCCCATAGTAGGACGAAACGGCCATCCAGTGCTTCTAGGTTTTCCATGGTGGTCTAGCTTCAATTGACTCACGCTTTCAACTATGAAAACACTTAATCTCCACAAAACCCCTTCTGATAATAATAATTATAAAACAATGTAGAATTTGAGAAAGAAATTTGTTGAATTCATTTAGTTGGTGTAAGCTAGACCATCATTGAAAACCTAAAAGACTCAGTGGTTTAGAGGTTAAGTGTTCATGCGCGAAAGCAAAGGTACTACGTTCGAGTTCAGAGTGTGGGTATCATGGATGCGCACTGCTGAGAAGTCCTATACTAGGATGAAACAACCGTCCAGTGCTTCCAGATTTTTAATAGTGGTCTAGTTTACATTAACTCATGAATTCAACTACTAAAATATGTACAATCTCCATAGACCACCCTCATTCTGAAAAGAATATGTCACAGTATTACAATGAAAAAGAGTAAAGGGAATTAAAATTTGAAAAAGAAGTTACCTAAATAATGATGGTATCGTTAAAACTATTGTTCAAATCGAGAAATAAAAAGTTATATTAACGACTAATATCCAAAGAAACGCGTTGAATAAATGCATCTGCGATCGGATTGTTGTTTTTGCAATTAAATCACTCGAAGTGTTCAGCTGTTGATCACGGTTGTCGCTTGTACTCCGACGTGATAGTTAACACCTTTCTTCAAGGTACTTATATCCTAGTTAGTATTTCACACCGTGTTATAGATAGTTAGGTATGGATAAAAAGCTTCCTGCTCCCTTCAGCTATTGACGCTCATAGTCTCATGGATCAGTTTACCTTGTGTGCTTAGTTCAACTATGTGCGACGCCCATAACAAAATACTGAAGAATAATCTATATCCTACACCGTCGAAAACCATGTTTCACATCCATAAAGCGGTATAGAACGGATTGTATTGCAACATTCTATCTAATAAACAGATGGAAATCCTCATTCGTCCCCATATATAAGATGAGCATACGCCGAAGATTTTTGCATTATCATTCATTACATTCAAAATACTCTACGTATATCTGCAATAAATGTGACTATATAATACACATGCTTTTATTTGGTGACAGAGTCTCTGTATAGATCAGTAAAAAAGAAATGGTATTCAATCAAACACATATTCAAAGCATCACTCGTGTATTTTGGGACCACCAAGTGAGGAACACTGAGGTTCGGGATAGAGTACCAGGTAAATATGGCATACGTGTTAAGTATGCCCAGTCACCAACCACCTCGATGAGCAATGCTTTCAGGTGCAGCAGAAGGTTAGTAAAAATTGAGAGGCTGCCTGTTATTCCCTTCACAACTCAATTACCAAGTACACTTTTGAATAATGGACTTTGATCCCCAACTGAACTTCTTAAGTTGGAGTAGAGTCATTACCAGTAAGCTGTCAGTGGCAAAAATTAAGTGTTTGTCACCAGTAAATGCTACTTTTGAACATTGGTTACTTGTTTTTGTGGGATAATATGGAACAGTGAGATATCTTGATCATTAAAATTTCAAGGCTAATTTGTATTCTGTTGAGTTTACGAATAGATTGTAAAATGACATGAAGATTTTATCTTCAACTCAGTTTGAAATAAAAAGTGTACATTTCTGAAGTGTTTAACTGAATTCTTCTATTCCATGAATACATTTTTCAGTAACATCTCACCTTAATACTACTTGATTGTTGGACTCCATGCTAACTACTCACGAGTAGTTTGATGTTGCTTTTGTAACTTCTATCTCATTATAATCTTGTTTTTATATTTACCAGGAGTTAGATTTAGGCTCATCATTACTAGATGAAGTATTCAAATGTTTCCCAATCGAAAAATCTACTACCAATGACAATATGAATCATAATACTAATGGTGATAAAAAGTCAAATGGTGTTATTACTACTACTACTACTGCCATTACTACTAATGATGAGGATATTAGAGGTCATTCTAATTGTGATGATTCGCTCCAAATGAATGGTACACTTATTGATGATTCTACAAGGTGAACTTTTGATTTAGTAATTTAATGTTTGATTTTTGTGTTTATTTTATACAAATTTAAGTTATGTTTAGGCGATGTATCCTATTTAAATTGAGATATTCATATATTTCATGAAGTGTACTAATTATTAAAAATGAACGTGAATTACTGGTTAGCTAACCTGTGTTAAATACTCAGTCAGTCAGTTAGTCACAACGTAGAACTTCGTACGTACGTACATCAGTTCGAGTTGCCATTCCACATTAGCACAGAGATACAGTTGTCTATTCAAATCTCATAGTGGTAGAAGTAGTAAGAGTATAAGCAGTAATCAGAAAAATTAGGGTTTGAAGATGTTATTGAAGGAGTATAATACAGTAAAATAAATTTGTAAAGAAAAAAAAGATAGAAACTTGAAGAATTCAGATTAGAATTCGGGAGAACACAAAGAGTGGATGCACCTTCACCATTCCAAACGATTTTGAGCCATGTCATTCAAGTTCTGTCACCATCGATGGATATCATCTCGCGGATCCCAACCAGATAGTCTACACCTACCAGCATGACTCAGTCCAATTGTCAGTGACTTCATGGATTTGTGTCACGTTTCGGTCTGACCTCTCCCAGCTTTCTTCCAACCTACTCCTACACCATGAAACATTGCACGTCGGGGCAGTCGGTGGTTGGGCATACGTAACACGTGTTAAATACTAGGGACAAGTGTGTCGTCCTAGCTTTCAGGACTTCACAATAGTTTATATTCATGAACTTCAAGGTACTCGTGATGAAGATGATGCATTTTTCCCTGCTAAGTTGAAATTTAATGTTTCACACTATTTAACATCATTATTTTATGATCCTCATTAGGTTTTTTCTCTTGTATTGTTACTTCCTTTCTGGATTGATAGACCTTAACAACTAATGGAAAAGACTATATGAATATACACATGTACGACAGGTCAACTTGATTGGTGTGAATAATATGACTGAGTGACGAATAACACAAAGAGCTTCTTAATCAATAGATATCAAAAAGGTAGAAATCTATCAGTCACAGCAATAAGAGATGTCCAATTTTTCCAGAAACGTAATACTTGTTTTTTAAAAGAAAACGGTGAAACTATAATTTATAGATGACCTTTGAGCGATGCCTTAGTGACCTTGAAGATGTCCACCTACTTACTAAGGCTAAATGAGGGTTATAAATCAGTTTGAAGAGTAAGGATTATGATTCACATCACATAATCTAAAATGCCAAAGCACTATTTAGGCAAATGAGTGAATAGATTTCGCGCCAAAATTTAAGACCTGTTATCCTCAATCTGATTGGTTCGTCCATAAATTTTATATGCAAGCGTAGTCACCATTAGTTTTCTTTCCAAACAAATTTTGATTCTGAATACATACTATTCGAATCAATAACGTGCAGGTAATTGCTTTACCTTTGTTAACGTTAAACTGACATTTTGTGGAAACTCTGCAGTTCGTCACTCGAATGTTTTGTCTTTCATCTCGTTGACGATGTAACGGTAGCATGTAGAATTGAAACAGGATGTTTCCATAACTTTTTGTCACTGATTGCTGACTGAATAAGTCACAACCTTCTTTTGACCAAAATTTCATGAAGCTCATCTTGAAGACACTGGAAGAGAATCCACCCTAATATCAGGAATGGAAACCATTGGTTATCAACTGATCGACTTTACAGTCCCATACTCGTTAATAAAAGTGAAGATTTTAGGTCCAATTTTGTGTTACTTTGTGAGCTTGTTCATATTACCGAACGTTTACAACCAATGTAGAAACAGATGCCCAGTACTCACTTTAGTTTTTGATGGATTTCCAGATGAGATTAGGATCCAACAAATTAACCTTCATTCATTTGTTTTAAAATTCCTACTTTATTGAAATAAAATATACATGCAAACACCAGCCGAATTACTCTTGATGGTGAAGCTCTAGATGAATTAGAAGCCTTGACGTACCTTGGCACCATTATCGATGAACAAGGAGGATCTGATGCAAATATAAAGGCACGGATTGACAAATCAAGGACAGCATTCCTACATCTGAAGAACACACGGAACTCAAAAAAACTGTCAGTCGAAATCCAAGTCAGAATCTTCAATACAAACGTCAAGACAGTTCTAGTGAACGAAGTTGAAACTTACAGAACTACCACAACCATCATCAAAATAGTAAACAGTTGTGTGAACAAGATACTCAATATCCGTTGACCGTATACCACCATCATCAACCTACTGTGGGAGAGAACAAACGAGGTTCCAGCTGAAGAGGAAATTAGGAAAAGGCATTGGAGGTGGATATAATCTAGATTACAGAAATCATCAAACTGAAGCACGAGGTAAACCCTCAGTTGGAATGCTGAAGTCTGAAGGAAGAGAGGAAGACTCAAGAACACAGCGAGTGTGGAAATGGAGACAAACACCAAACGAATGAATAGCAATTCGAAACAACTGGGAAGGAGAGTCGAGGACAGAATTGGCTAGAGAATATTGGTTTTTATTTTATTTTATTTAAAAACATAAATATTGGTACAAAGGGGCACCAGATATATATGCGCCTCACAAATCTCATTCGATTTGTGCCAAGGCTGGGATACTGCCAAGGTGCCCGAACCGAAGCAGGTGATTTTCTTAGGGAGCTACACCCAGAGCCTGTGACCTAAAGGTCTAACCCACAAGGCAGTGGAGCATCGTGAGGAGATGCAGTCCTATGGTAGCCGGTGACCAACAATTATTTCACACGCCATTTGTTCCTTAATGATACTGGAGCCCATGTGCACCATTGGTTTGAAATCAGCGTTTTCCAACTCCCCTAGATGGACTTTCCGTATCCACCAACCCGGTTAAAGCGCCGGACATTCGCTCTTCGTCCTCTCACTGTCGTAAACAACAGTAATGCCACGAGAAGGCAGTGATTAGGATTTTGCTTTTAGTGGTTGTATGCATGTGGCCATGTGAGAGCATTTGGAGAGAAAGAGAGAGAGCGGGCTCTCCCCACTCTCGACCGTACCAGGGCATTTGGGGGCAGAATATTGGTTGGAGTTCTATGTTCCTCCATGAGAGGTAATAGACGTAATCATGTAAGACATATATGCTCACTACGTGACCTTGGGTGCACGGGTAATTCCTCTGTATAATTGTGGATTCTCAGTATTCAGGAATTCCATGTTGGAGTGTAACAGTTTTTAATCATTCATAATTTTAAATCCTTTCCCAAAACATAAGTTGTTACTCATTATAAATCTCAAAATAACATGCTTCCATTAACAACAAACATCATTCGTGTGTTCTATTTTAACATTTTTTTATATATTCTAGACCGAATTCAACTGATTATTTTAACAAAAAGGAATCCCTACTAACCAGTAGTACCATATTTAATAAAACACCAGATTTGATTGAACGTGGCAAACATTCATCAAAATCAAATGGATTTCGTATTCCTTCTTTAATAAATAAAATTAATCGTTTAGAAACATCGATGCCACATACTACTACTACTACGACCACTACAACTACTATTACTAATGACAATCATATAAGTAAGAAAAATAATCATACTACTAATACTTTGGATTCGTTAACTTCATCTTATCAAATAAAACCATTGAATCATAATTATGAACAATCTAATGATGAATTAAATGATTCAACTTATACTGATAATACAATTATTGATGATAATCCTGTTGTTATTAATGATGATGATAATGATGATCGTCATCATAGTCGTCATCATCACCATTTTGAAAACATGAAATTGGATGATAATAAAAGGGAGTCAAAATTTTCATGGAAACGTAGTTCATTTGGTAGTTTAACACGTCGTAGTTCATCAATATCAAAAGCATTGAATAAAACTAATGGATTCAATCATTTAGACAATGAAAATAATAATGATAATAATAAACGAATAACAATTAGTAGACCAGTTTTATTAAGTCGACCAAATTCAAGTAAGTTTGAACTGTTTTTTTCTTTGGAAAACCTAGAAGCACTGGACGGTCGTTTCGTTCTATTAAGGGGACTCCGCAGCAGTGCGCATCCACGACCTCGCCTAGGGGGATTCGAACCCAGTACCTACCAGTGTCGCGCCAGAGCACTTAACCTCCAGACCACTGAGTTGGCTGGCATCTAACGGTGTTAATGTCTAACTTGTCGTGGATGCGTACTGCTGAAGAGTCCCATAATAGGACGAAACGGTCGTCCAGTGCTTCCAGGTTTTCCTTAGTGGTCTAGCTTCAATGGAATCATGATTTCAACTATGAAAAATACTGAAATCTCCACAAAACCCCTTCTGAATATGTAATCTTTTAATTTGAACTATTTAGACACTGACTTTCTAGCCTTTTATCAATTCCTACGAATGGAAAACAAACGACGTAAAGTATAGAAGTAGTTGTACTTTAGGACATAAATATCTTGGACTAGTTGTTCATGTATTATGAAATGGTCAAATGAGTAATACCTGGTCGTAGGTTTTTAGTTACAGATGTCAAATTGATTGATGTAGTTTTACATCCTCGTTGAATAAAGTGGTTGGAACATGTGCTACGTATGCTCAACCACCTCCTACCTCTATTTACAATGTTGGGTGGAGTAGGTATGAGTCGAAAAAAAACTAGAGATTGCCAAACGAAGCCATATCATATGTTTATGAAGTTAGTAGCTGAGGTTTTACATATTATGTCTCAAAATCATTCACAACCTCACAAATGCATTCTTATCCGTCTTAATCTAGATCCTGATTTCCAGTACCTCTTCATATATACCTTTTCATACTACATTTTTGAACCTCATCTTTGTTGGGATGATCCTGCGAATTTCTCGCAATATACATGACAAACTCAGGAAACATTTAGAAACATTTTATTCAATCAGCGTTTGACTAGATGTTTTGCTAGAAACATCATGGAAACGAAGTCATATGTAGAGGTTCTGATTGGCTGATTGCTACACTGCTACTATGTTTAGTAGTATTCTAGAATTTTTAGGAAAACCCAAGGACCTCTAAAATACTATAAAAACCCTATATTTTCTGTACATAATTGAACCTTTGAAGTAAAGTGCTTCCCGCATATTGTGTGCCTTTTCTCTCGTGTTCAAGTCACTGTGTAGTTCTAGCTTGGGGGTTACAAGACTAGCTTAGGATCCTAGTATAGCGTTCAATCAACAAGACTTATCAATCTTAAATAGTCAATTTTGGTCATGCTCATCGTTACAACATTATATCACTTTCATCATTCCATTTTGTTAATTTAATTTCATTGTGCTAATATGTTGTAGAAATGTCGGTTATCGCATATTTGTACTTGGCCTCTTTTTTAGTTATAACTGACTGTCTTCGAAAGTGATGTCTATTGTAGAAGTATACATGACCCTGAGGTTCTAAAAGCTCCTGAATAATATTCTAGCCTTGTTGACAAATTCCATAATGATCAAATCAGAATGAAAGAGGTCTATTCAATCGTTTTCTAAATGTTTTTAATTGAAAAGAATTCAAATAATTCTATCTGATATATGAACGAAGAATGTTCTTTTCAATAAACTCTATCCAAGTTATACAATTATATATCCACATTAATAATCCGAAAAGTTTCCAGGTTTTAAGTAAAGTAGGTCGGTTAAAGTTAGAGAATGTAAACTTAAGATAATCATCTTAACCATTGAATGACCTTTGTTAGTCAGATATGATTGTCTCTATTATTTTTATTCAGAAATGTTTATTACCGGTTTAACACCACCATTAACCTTCCAAATACATGGTTCATCTACTTAACACTCACCTCGACCTTATTACTTTCTATTGATTTCATATATAAATATGTACACACTAAACATTTGATCTAATTTGTAGTTGCATTAGTATTTCTCTCAACTTATCTAAATCCATATTCATTCTGATCATGAATCTTAAAATTTCATTGAACGTATTAACTGATTCAAGTTAACTTTGCATACAAATCATCACAGTCAGCTATCCATCGATTCAAGTTGCCACACCTCATTAACACAACAAGATGACACACCAAATCCATAGAGGCAGCTACTTCAATTGTAGTAATATATAAAAGGAAGATTGTGTATAAGGATATAATACAGGAAGAAAGAATCATAAATAATCATAAAGTAATTTCAATTTCACAGTTTAAGGGAAGACAAAGAGTGTGTGTATACCCCTACTCTATTATAATAGATTCTGAGCCATGTCACTCAGATTCTCCAACCATTGGTTACGATTGTCGCGTGGACCCCAACCAAGTAGTCTGCATCTACCAACATGACTCAGACTAGAAGTTAGTGACTTTGTGGACTGATGCCACGTTTTAGTTTGACCACCCCTAACTTTCTTCCAACCGTCTCCAACAGAAGTCAGTATTGCGTGTCGTGGTAATCTGTGTTCAGGCATACCTAACATTTGGCCCAACCATCTCAGTCTATGAAGATTCACAACCTCATCAACTGATTTACCATTATTCCAACATTATTTCATTTTATAATTCTAAATTCACATACTTTAACTATAAACGATGCACTTTGTTCTTAACCTGTTCATTTTTCGGTTTATGAATGTGGATATATAATTGTAGGACCTAAAGAGAATTTATGAAAAAAGAATATCTTTTTTCTTTTATATATCTGTGTTTTCATATAATGAGGATGTTCAAAACAAGTCTATCTGAAATTTACTTAGTATTGTTTGTTTGGATCTTACCATTGATGTTTTTAGTACTGCAACTGGTCAGTCTCTAATTGGCATATGTGCATACTGTGCGTATTGCCTCGATATAGCCTAAATTCACAAGCATGGTAAGCAAAGATGGATAGTGGCTAGCAGTGGAATCCAGTTGGACGCGCGTTTCATCCTATTTGGGACTCGTCAGCTGGATGTACCTGCATCTCAGAGTTGATGTTTGCTCTGGGACTCGAACCCAGTACCTTTCGCTTCAAACGCCATAAGCGTATAATACAGAAAGAAAGAAATATAAATAAAGGTATAAAGTCAAACGCCATTGAAGCGAAAGGTACTGGGTTCGAATCCCAGAGTGAACATCAACTCTGAGATGCAGGTACATCCAGCTGACGAGTCCCAAATAGGACGAAACGCGCGTCAAACTGGATTCCACTGCTAGCCACTATCCATCTTTGCTTACCAATTCTATCTGAAATTGTGAATCTTGTACTTTTAGTGACTAGTTTTTTGTATTTCAATATTGGTTCATTTTTTGTCTGGTAATTAGTTTCAAAAGTCATAGACACTGACTACTGATTAATGAATATTATCGATCAAATATGGTAGGTGATTATATCCTGTTACTTATACAACATGCCAATGGTACGCGTTATTTCGAACAATCTTTATTGATAAGATCAGTTTGCTTTTGTCTCGTTATTACGTATATTATTCTTAAATTTCTAATTGTCTATAAATTCTTCTCTCCCTTTTGCACACACACACACATGTACACATTCTATAAATCATTAATCTCGCTTGTTTCTTTGTTTCCATATCACCCAGTTAAAATAATAATGATAAACAAATAAAAACATGATTTTAATTATTGGAGTAGATTAAAAAAAATTTGATTCATTATTTTTCAAAAATCTACTCATAACTGTCTAAATTGTGTTACTTTTTCATAAATCCTCAATTCATTTATGTATCAGAATGGTGTTTCGTGGAAATTTCAGTATTTTCATAGTTGAAATCATTAGTCGATTAGAGCTAGACCATCATGGAAAATCTGGAAGCACTGGACGGCTTTTTCGTCATATTGTGGGAATCGTCAGCAGTGCGCATCCACAATCCCGCCTTGAGAGACTGGTAGGTTCAAATCTCGTGATGCGAGATCGTGGATGCACATTACTGAGGAGTCCCACAATAGGACGAAACGACCATCCAGGTCTTCCATGGTGGTATAGCTTCAATTGACGCATGATTTCATTTGTGTATATTGAATGTTTGTTCACTCTAATTTTTGTCTTTTTTTAGTTTATTTGTAAGTAACAGTTAATTGAGAATTATTGTGTAAATTGTCTGAATGATTAGTGGATTATGAATATCACTATTATTTTATGATATTTGTATGAAATTTCCAGTGCTTTCAGGTTTTCCATGGTGGTCTAGCTTTAATCTACTCATGAAGTAAACTTATTATTAAATTCTTTTCCAGCCATATTTTCTTACACAAGAGCGTGGCTATCAGGACTCAGTATCTTAGTGGATAACGTGATGGCGTTTGAAGAGTAAGGTACTGGGTTCTAGTCCCGAAGTGAACATCAACTCTGAGGTGCAGTTACATCCGGCTGACGAGTCCCGAACAGGACGTAATATGCGTCCTGGATTCTACTACTAGCCACTATCCATCTTTGCTTATAATGCATATGAATTGAGACTATATCGAGGCAATACTCACAGTATGCACATATAATTAATAAGAGACTGATCAATTTCAGTTCTAAACATCAATGGGAAGATTCAAACAAATAATAACAAGTGAATTTTACTTGTTTTAGTTATGTTACTTATAAGTACTTATAAGTAGTAAAAAACGTCGACCTAAAATAGACGTTGCGTTGTGTTCTAAGAAATTTATAAATATTGTCGGAGAATTTGAAGTCATAGGATAGTGAAATTAGTACTTTTACATGTTGTTATCTTTAGTATTATTAGTTTTAGTATAAAACGGAGAAAATATTCCAGTTTTGAGATTTCATTAATGAAGTAATGACATTATTTTAAAGAAATATGATAGTAATAATAGTGTTTCTTAATACTGCGTTTACTATAGTAGGGAATTTATGGTCTGAAATGTTTCGAGAAATATCTCCTTCTGCATATATGTACTCCAGAATATAGTCACTCAAAAATGACAAGGAAAATTGGCTGGTTTTGTTTCCCCTGAGTTAAACAATTTGATTATGAAAATTATAACATTCTGAACAAAATAATCGTTGAAGCCATGATTCAATCTTGGTTAACACACCACTGGAAACCTATAAACATTGAGCAGCTGTTTTCTTCTAGTACGGGACTCTTCAACAATGCGCTTCCAATATTTTGCACGCGGGACTCTAACCGATCGAAGACAATGGAAAATGGTTTTGCGGTTATGGGTCGATTGAAGTTTAACATTAACACCGTTGGATGCCGGTTCGGTGGTCTAAGGGTTGGGCGATCGGGTGCGAGGTCTAATATTTTGGTTACGAGTCCTGCGTGGATACCTTGGGCGCGCACCTCTGGGGAGTCTTATACTAGGGTGAAATAGCCGTCTAGTGCTTTCAGGTTCTCACTGGTGGTTTCACATTTATCGGTTCATAATTTTAATGGAATCCAACGATTTTCACAACCCCATACTAAAAATTATCATTTCAAAGTAAGGCTTACAACCCTTACTCAGACGCTCGATTATTTCTTTCTGATAGCTTTCTTTGTGATTGTCTTAATAGGTTTTGTGTGCTTATAATCTAACTCCTATTACTTTGATGATATATATGGTCAGCTGAACGGTAATTTTATCAATCTTCACATTCAAAACGTGACTAACATAAATATACCTGTACTCTGAGATGATAGAGAATATGTGTGGCTCAGGAAGAGGATTTTGAGCGTGGATAATTTAATCATGAAGTTTCCTTTGCGTACCTTGACTACATCATCAGCCCATAATTCAATAAGAAGTGAATTGGTGGAATTTCTTCACAATTGACTAGCTGCTTGTTCTACTGACTCTAGAATTTGGTTATTTTTTGTCCATAGATATATAGCCTTTGTTTGTTTGTCTGTCTTGACTTTCCTCCTCTAATCAAATCTTTGACTTTGAAGTTGTTTATCCTTTTCCTTATTGATTGATAGATTTGTTCAATCCCGATATGTCTGTTGATTGGTGCGTTACCAGGGATGAATACTTCTAAGGATTATCTAGCTTTCCTTGTATTTCCTTTTTTCGGTATTTCGACGTTTTCCCAATCGACATCATATCTATAGTTGTCCACATGCAGTGATATGAGAGAAACTATGTCGTGACACTTAACCTTAGGCTGATGCTGACATAGACATAGACGGAGCAGATGACTTTTTTGTCTCACTCAATGCTATTCATAGCTTCTGTATTTAACTTTGTAGATGATATTTCGTTTGTCTCCGTTTGTCGTCGTGTTCTTTGTTCTTCACGATATTGATTGTAAAGTTTTTTGTGGGTTTATGCGCTACACCTATTGTTAGCGGTCTTAATAATCTGTTTATCACAAACCGATTAGCCTTCATACTGAAAATGTAACCGACATAGACAATACCTGGCAAACATTACAGTTTCAAACTTAATGTCAATCAAAGATAGTATTTTGACCTATATCTATTAATTAATATGTTCAATGCAATATATCTATAATTCATAGCTTTTTGGTTGAATAAAGCAATTCATTTTATTCACTTATTTATCCATTTCATTATGAAGTTACACATACAACTTTAAATCGTCTACCATCCAATTCATCATCATCTTCAATTATTGGTAATCTAACTGAACCAAGTAGTTTAGGCAGTTCAACAACAAGTCGTGACAGTTCATTAACTGTTGTTTCATCATCATACAATGGTTGCAGTAGTAGTAGTGGTGGTGGTGTTGGTATCGGCTACGGTCCTAGTATTGGTGGATATACATCATCATTAAATAATACTACTGGTCATGATGAGACATCATTTACAGAACAACAGCAAACTCAACATCAGCCTTCAATATCATCATCATGTTATTATGAGACATCTACAAATGGGTCACTTTCACCAGCGTCTAGTCTATCATCTATGATATCGGCTACATGTGTTCCATCCCATTCAATGACATCCAGTATTTCAAATTCTATAAATATTAATAATTCTACATCATTATGCAATAATAATAATAATAGTACATCAATTGCACAAGGTTGTCTACGAGCATTAAGATCTGGTGAAACAGTATTTCGTGCGTCAACGAATACTTCAGCTGGTACATTGAATTCACGAAGAAAAGTTAGTACATCTTCAAGAACAAATACTCCAATGTTGTTGACAGATGAAAGATCAACAAATCCAAGGTAAATACAAAGTTTTATCTGTTCTTTTTGTAATCTTATGCTTGTGTTTATGTTATCTTTTTCTTTTTTTCTTCTGCCTCTCCACGAACCTGTCATTCACTGAGAATGTGAGATGTAATTCAACTGTGTGTCATTACAAGTTGAGGTTAAGCATTCGCGCTCAAAACCGAAGATTCCGGGTTCGAATCCCGCCCGCGGGATCATAGATACTACTAAGGATCCTCATACTAAGACGAAATGGCCGTCCATCTCTTCCAGGTTTTCAATGGCGGTTTAAAACTGGTCGATTCATGATTTCAACCAAAACTCAACAATATCTATAACCCTATACTAATCATTTATTTTTCCTGAATCATATTGTTTGTTCCCAATTTTTTCTACTATCAGTGATCATATATTAGCACTTCTACGACTATGCTATTTGTCTTCATGGTTTCTTATCACTATGTTGATATTCTGTGTTTACTGAAAACATTGTTTAACATAGGTTTCGTGCTAGGTGACAACCATTAGCAAATGCGTACCTGCAAATTTGAAGCGATTAATGTTCCCTGTAAGGTTTGAACTCCTTAAAACTTGATCAACAGAAGACATCAACAGGAAATATCAATTCCCTTGGGATTTCAGGCACATCTTGCTGATGAGATCCAATTAGCACGAAACCTTAGTCCCTAGGGCTTACCTCTCAACTACCTTAAACTATCTAACTATCTAATATTTATTTTCTATTTTTTCTTATTGTAGAATCAAAAATTTATCACCAACTGTAACACTAGTCAATTTGTCAACAAAGAATTCCACTGATGATGCTATTTCTTCATCAAGTTTATTAAGGAAGAAATCCAACTTATTGTTTAATCGGGATATATATCAGTCATCATCATCAGCTGAGCGAAGTCCAAATCATTATTTAACTAATTCTACTAACATAACAACTAGCACTAATACTACTAGTCATACATTACAACAACACAAAACTTTAAATCGTGTAGATCTATCACATTCATCATCATCTTCATCGTCAATATCACCATTGTCTACACCATTTTTGGGTGATTCAAAAGTACAGTGTTCTCAAATAAGTATGTTACGTTGTTTTCAATATTTTTCATTACTATTATTCTTGTCTTGGTAATATATAAAATTCAGTATGTAATAAGGTTGGTCAACGTCTACCATGGGTTTGCATCTCCTCACGATGCTCCACTTCATTGTGGGTTAGACCTTTAGGTCAAAGGCTCTGGGTGTGTGGTCCTTTAAGAAAACCACCTGTTTCAGTTTGGGCACCTTGGCAATATCACAGCCCTCTCACAAATCAAATGATTGATGTGGAGCATATATATTTGGTGTCTCTTTGTACCAATATTTATGTGTTTAAATAAAAATAAATAAATCCCTAGTTGAATAAAACTTTTCAAAAATATACACTCCTTAAAATCTCATATGACATCATAAATGGATTCAAATTGGAAGTATAAACTATATTAGGCTTTAAATCATTGATCTAAATATATCATATCCGCTTCGAGGTTGAATGGTCATAAGTTCGATCACATATGAAGTGGTAAATTCCCACTGTTGAGGAGTAATAATCTCTTATTGTGACAAAACACTAGTTCAGTGCTTTACAACGTCCTCAACAGCTCTACACCTGGTGTTGTCAATTTATAATAAAGGCTAATATCAAATTAGTTATTGTTTTACTTCTTAATAAAATCATAATTGTTTTTATCCATTAGATAATGTTCAATCGAAATTGAGTAGTAGTCATCCAACAACACCAAAAATAGACACAACTACACCAATAAATGAAAATAATGTTAATGTGTCCAATATGGATTTAAATAGTGTAATGGCATCATTTTTAAGCAAAGATTTTGGTAGTTTTCTTGATAATGATACAAATTTATGTAACATGAACAGTATCAATGGTGATGATAGTATTGGTCGTGTTCAATTGAATAAAAATCGTGGTAAGTCAAAAAGTCTTTAATTATCTACATGTATGTGTATGTTCGTTTGATGTCAACATCAAACGACTGGTATTCTTGTTTTACAACTAGCGACCAGTAGTACCTTCTATTGTCGATATTGTCCGATAAAAATCAGACGAGTCAGACGAGAAGAGGCAGGAAAAATATATTTGATACGTTACCAATATATCGAGGGGCGTTCGTTCTTAGCTAACTATTGAAACGTAGGAGCTGTGTCCCACACCGAGTTGAAACGTGATCTGGTGCGGATGCATGACCGAAAACCTTCAGTTAAACAAGTTCACTTAAACAACGTGGTCAGCATCCAATGTCGAACACTTAGAAAGCTATTGATTTTGGGGAATTATTTACAGCTACAATGTAAATCTAGTTTGTCTGTCACTCACTGTTTGTTTTTAAACTATTCATTAAGGAACTATATCATGTAACATTATGTCTATGGTGATAAGTTGTTTTTACTGACTAATGATATCTGTTATTTAAGTGTTGGTATAACCATAAGGAGTCACACACTACTTTAACCGGTCAATCAGTCAGTCAGCTACAACGTAGGACCAGGCACACATATGCATCGATCCAAGTTGGCATACCTCATTAGCACAACAAGATGAGCACCAAATTCATAGAAGTAGTTAATTTAGTGGTGATAATATATAAAAGAAAGGTTGTATATAAGGATATAGTACAGGGAAAAAGATATGAAGCAATTTTAATCTCAAGGTTTAAAGGAAGATAAAGTAACCGGTCAATACCGCAAACTAACTGAAGTTTTAAATGTAACTCCACTGAATGTACTAACTCACTGGTGTAGATGTAACAAACTAGCTACGAGGTCTAAAAGTTGTGGGTTCCATCTCTGACAATGAGGTTCAAGATGTCTACTGTTGAGGTATCCTATACTTAGACGAAATAAGTACTCTCTGGGTTTTCGTTCCACTGTTTAGCAGAAGTTTCCCTCTTTAGTATCGACTGAAGATCTTCAGTGATGAAATGACCTAACTTGAAATGCACAATCTTGTACTACTTGTAATGTTTGATGTTTTCAATTAAATAATCTTCAAATACTCTTTTTAATTTAACACATGTTTACATTCATAAGTATGTTTTTTCCATTTAAACAGCCCCATCGAGTTCACAATCCAATTTGTCAAAATCACCATTCAAATCAAGTTTATCTAGATTAACACAGGTATGTAAAGGAATTTATTTATATTTGTGATAATTCCCTACTGATTCAAATCCTTCAACAGTTGATGTTTTGATATCTATAAAGGTTCTTATTTCCTACATTTGGCGACGGTATTCACGATTAGTTTTTGATCAGTATTTTCTAACTTATGTTACATCCTAAGTGGGATGTTTTTGTATTACTACTGAGTGACGAAGTTTTGATATATTTCGAATTGTCACTACTAGCGGAACGTATGATGATGATGATTTCGATCCATTTGGGACTCGTTAACTGGATGTAACTAAATGTTCCAATAACTAAATTATCATTTGATTTTAGATATAGTTTAGTAATTCATAAACTTTTACTCAAATTAGCAAATATCTATTGTAAGCGTGAGCCAATTGAACCTAGATCACCATGGAAAACCTGGAAGTACTGGACAACTGTTTCGTCCTATTATGGGACTCCTCAGCATTGCGCATCCAAGATCCCGCACTCTCGAGATTCGAACCCAGGACCTACCAGTCTCGCGCCAGGGCACTTAACCTCTAGACTACTGAGCTGGCCGGCATCCAACGGTGTTAATGTCTAACTTCAACCAATCCACGAAGTTGAGCAACCGTTCACCAATTGTCTTCAGTGAGTTGATATCTCATAACAGACGTAGTTTGAACTCCATTGGTCACTGCTTCTCACTAGAACTCCTGGATTTACCTCTCGATGTCAGTCACTAATGAGTATATGATTATTATTATGAAAATACCAAATCTCCACAAAACCCCTTCTGATAATAATAAATATCTATTGACTTTAATTTTTAACTATTTTTTTTTCTTTTTGATTAGCAACGTGGAAATCTACGTCATGGCAACAATGATGATGATGTACTCGCTATTTAATCAACATGTGAGCATTATCATCTATGGAACATTCAAACTGCACAATACATATGTGAATCTAAAGAAGTATATATATATATATATACTACTACTACTACTACTTATAAATAATTCATTACAATTATTTCTTTCCATTGCATTTCCGGGAACATTTTGTCGATTAAATTAAATGTAACTATACTAAATCCATACAAAAGAAACCATATAGGATTATGTATGTGTGTGTGTGTATGTTTCCTTGTTCGATTCCTTTATTGAGCCAACTTTTATTATTTATCAATCATTCAATTTTTTTTCTTTTAATATATAGAAAATGTTATTCACCTTAACTGTTTCTAGGGTTGTCTACTATAGTAAATAAGAAATACTTGTTTCTAAGACATAGTTGATTATGATGTAATTCTCAGATATATATATATATATATTCTGTATACGCGTCTTTCTTGAATAACAACATTGTACTATTCTGTAATACTTAGTCAATGTTGATACAGACACATACATGCATACGCACACACACATTGGCTATCGTTTTACTCCTTCTAGTGTGCATTATTCTGTCACAATATTTATATAGTCCATACAATGATCTTCATATACATGAAATTGTATTTATTCCTGACAACTTATTATACTATATACATATATTTATCATTTCAATGGAATGGTTCTTTTATGCATCTAGTGATTATTTCTTATGCCTTAAAGAAATCCCGGTGGTGTTTGTTACAGTTTTCTTTTGTTGCTGTTTATGCTATTTGTGCAATTTTGTTATACATGTTGTATGTGTGTGTGTGTGCTTATGTATCCGCTTGTTTGTGTTTCTTTTATTTCTTTTGTATATCTTTTAAAGGGGATGATGAATTTCTAGGGATCAGGATATGAGTTGTAGCATATATTCATTTTTCTCTCTCTGTGTCACCGTGGAAGTGTATATTTATATACTACTGATTAGTTTTATTTATTTATCAATTATATTCATTTTCGAGTTATAAGGAGATAGGGAAATCTTTTCCATTTCTCATTCAGTGATGTTTCTTTTAGAGATAGGAACGGGAACGGTTTTGATTGTCCGAATAGTTAGCAACATCATTATTTCTGCAAGAAAGTTTTTTTTCTTCAATATATATCAATGCATAAGCTATTCACCATTGATATATGTAATTTGATTCCTTGTTGATGTCATTGGTTATTGTCTATGTTTTCGTTGCATTTCGTCTTTTCGGTTCGAAGTCTCTTAATGATCTTCACCTTTTTGCTTTTTGTTGATATTGTCCAAATCATTGCCACATTAATTTTTTTTTGTTCCCTTATTGTTCTCGTTTTTGTGTGTGTGTGTGTGTTTTATTTAAATCATTAAAATATTGTCATATTATCCTTTTCCCTACGTTTCATATTCATTACGTTTTCTAATGGCACCAAGAGGTGTTCACACATTATATATAAAGGGAGAAAGAGATTATTCACACACATACACATACAAATCTGTTCCTTTTTTGTTTGTTTTCAATATGAATAGAAACTAGGAAAGAACATCATTTTCTAATTGATATCAACATTTGCATTTTTTCCGATTATTTGCTTCTTGCTTTTTTCTCCCCCCGAGGTAGATACTGTTCCATACTGTAATGATTTATATAAGTGAAGTTAGTGTATACTGAAGTAAACTATGTCTTTTATTCATGTTGTTGTTGCTATGGGTAATCATGAGGAAGGGAATTTTTAATTTAGAAGGTATTACATTGTATTGACTTCATTCGGGTCATCCAAATGGATTGGACTGTGTAATTTTTTTTTGGGGGGGGGGTAGTAAATGTGAATGGATTATAAACTGAAATGTTAAATTAATTATGTGTTTATGATTGGATTAATTATCGTTAATACAATATTAAATTTATTTGAGGAAATATCAGTATTCTTTCTTTATGATATTTATATTATTTATTAATAAGTCGATAAGACTTTACATCATTTGTAGCTGAAGATTAGATAGTCAGTCAGTCAGTCGTAACGTTGAACTTTGTACGTACGTACATTAGTTCCAGTTGCTATACCACATTAGCACAGAGATGAAGTTGTCGATTCAAATCTCATATTGGTAGAAGTACTAAGAGTGTAAGCATTATGTAAAAGATTAGGGTTTGAAGATGTTATTGAAGGAGTATTATCCAATGAGATAAATTTGGAAAGAGAAAAAAAGATAAAGACATAAAGAATTCAGAAGATTAGAATTTGGTTGAACACAAAGAGTGGATGCACCTTCACCATTCCAAACGATTTAGAGCCGTCATTCAAAGTCTCTAACCATCGATTGCTATCATCTCGCGGATCCCAACCAGGTAGTCTACACCTACCAGCATCACTCAGTCCAATTGTCAGTGACTTCATTGATTTGTGCCACGTTTTAGTCTGGCCGCCCCTAGCCTTCTTCCAACCTACTCCTACACCATGAAACATTGCACGTCGGGGCAGTCGGTGGTTGGGCATACGTAACACATGTCCCAGCCATCTCAACTGATGAAGTTTCACTACTTCATCAATCGATTTGCCATCCCTACCTAGTACCCGTTTCCTAACAACTGTATTACTTACCCGGTGGTCCCAGGATATACGAGCAATGATTCGGAGACACCTATGATCGAATACTAGTAGCCTACGAATATCCTCTACTCTTATCGGCCATGTTTCACTGCCATAAAGTAGGACGGAACGAACTGCTGCACAGTAAACCCGTCCTTTGGTTGCTAGACGGACATCTCGCCTACGCCATAAATGATGCAAGTTGGCGAAAGCTAGTCGAGCCTTCTGTATCCGTGGTGAGATTTCGTCACACACCAGACCACCATATTGTTTTCGAGAAATTAATCTCAATTCGCATTCATATTAATGAGTGTTCATTGTTCAAATTAGATCGTTTATATATCTTGTTGCACATATATCCTCAACACTTCAATAATATGTGGTTTATTATCTTATACCACTAAGTCACTTTAATAGTTGTCTTTAAACCTTTGTATGCATTGTATACATATAATTATCACCTCTTATATTGATAATTAATGACTTAGTTCTACCTAAAGAGAATTTAAAAGTATTCAAAATGATCTGTTGTATGAAGTGAGATTAATTTGATGTTTAACAAACGTAACATGCCTAAGGGTACACAAATTAAATTTTGACTTTTCATAAATTACTTACTTACGCCTATTACCCCCAATGGAGTATAAGCCGCCGACCAGCATTCTTCAACCCACTCTATCCTGGGCTTTCCTTTCTAGTTGTATCCAGTTTTTTTTAAGAGGAAATAAAAATAATGTCACTTAAGAAGAAAAATCTACTTCAAAACAAAATAGATCATTGAAGGTAGTGGATCAGCCTCGTACGTTTTTTACTCATTGGTAATTATCAATAGGGTATTACACAATGTTGAAAGAAATAATGCTTCACTTAGAAATCGACACCTTCATCAAGCATTACTATAGTTAAAGTTGTTATGATTGAATATGTTCGACCTATGTAATGGAACAAAGTGAAGTAGTAAAATGTAAGTAGCCTGGGTAATGAATTTAGTAATCTATCTCGCTAGTATCATGGATGAATTAAGCCTAGAAATACTGGGCAACTTTAAACTAATGAACTAAAATACAATCCTCCTTTTAGTTAATTGTTCTTTTCACGACTGGTCATTTGTGAAAAGAACACATGTTAATGGAGAATTCGGAGATTACTTACTTACTTACGCCTGTTACTCCCAATGGAGCATAGGCCACCGACCAGCAATTCTGAGATAAATATTTCTGCAAATCAATTTCATTATGAACTAGCAAAGTGTCAGATGGAATCGTATTTAGGTGTGTGCTACTTATGTGTAGTGTCAATATAATGTAATGAAGTCTCAATTATTCAATGATATCAACATATAGATCGTGCAGCACTGAGCGCATCTTTTGTCGTGACCTAGGGCTCTTCGTTTTAGCCTCAATCTTTATAAGAGACTAGAATCCCAGAGTTTGACTCACTCAATCAATAAGTCGACGCGCAATCATTGGATTGATTGTGATCCCTAGACATTAATCAATCATCGATATAATACTGGTCGTCTAAGTCTTCTTCAACAATCATTTATCCGACTATGTAGGTAAACAGTCTCACAAAAATATTTATAATCGACATTCTGTAATGAGAAATATCGTTGAATGGATCTAGTTTCTGCATCAAATCAGAATAAAAACTAGCTTGAAATAATTTATCACTGAGTAGTGGTCGATACTATATTCGTTCAGTCCTTAGTACATTTCGAATACTATCAACCAAGTTTAATGCGACTACTAATGTTGGTGACTGTACATCTATTGCACTTTGTTTAGTTGTTAGATGATCGAACGGGATGGACAGAGAACCCTCCTTCAAGCAACCAGGCTTCATGCTAGTTAAAAATCTCCAACAGGGACAGAAAAGCCGAATCAGCGTCGTGCTGACAAACGCCACCTACCACGAAGCCTAACTAGGTCAAACAAGTTGCCAAACTGATTAACTGCCACCTAACATCAAACATTAATCTCATGTCAAAAAGCCAATTAAAGCCAGAGTGGAAAAATCACAAGTTACTGACTTACTGAAGCCTGTTATCCCTAGTGTAGGATAGCCAACTACGATTCTCCAACCAACTCTGTCCTCAATTCTTCTTTTCAGTTATACTCAAATGCTATTCATTCATTTGATATCAGCTTCCAATCCCCGGAACGATATGTTCCTTGGTATAGCTCTTCTCTTCTAGCCATAAGGATTCCAAGTTAGGGGTTGCTTTGTGACGTAGTTGGGCGGTTTCTGCAACACGTGTCCTACCAGCCCTAGCGTCTTTTCCTAGTCTCCTCTTAAGCTGGGACCTAGTTTGTTCTCTATCACAATGTTGTTGCTGATGGTATCCCAGTCCCTTAGTGACGTTCTCTACACTTCTCCAATCGATGTCAGTTTCGTTTTATTGATGATGACCAACTTGAAATCCATTTGCGTCTACAAACTATCTTTCTTAGATCACAACTATCATCTTGGTTACTAGTAAGCTGTATACAAGAAGTTTTTAGGTATCATTACAACGGTCTGACTTGATAACTTCAAATAAATTGATCATTAAGTGAATTATTTATGATAATGGAATAATGTATATGTAGCATCTCATTAAATAGAAGGTTGGATTTGGGACATTTCGTAGCTTACTGTAATTAGAATTCCGAGTTCCAAAATAGTCGCCTCTTGTTTCTTTATAGAGTATACTAAGCAGAAAACATGCCAAGAAATATAGTTTTTTAGCGTGAATTTGTCAACATTTAGTATGTCAGAAGTTCCTGGAGTGGTAGTTAAAAGTCATGACCAAAGTAGCTTAAACATGTAAGAATTAAGGCAGTTACCTACAGTTACCTAACAGTGGTATTGAATAAGAATCACACAGCATCGCTAAAAAATTGAAGTTAAAAATGTAAACCACTGAGTTATGATTCAGTAGCCTGAGTGTTCAATGCTTACCGTGAAGCCTGTAGGTTTTGCATTAAAATTCTATTTGACTAACGAATTTCCTCTACTGAGGAGTCCTATACTACAGTAAACCAGATACACGGTGAGTTCATGGTCTTAATGGTTTCTTATCTACAAATTGAACGTTCTAAACCAACACTGATCACAGTTGATTGATAACTGGATGGTGATCAATATCATGTGTATCAGGTTCTTCTTAGTGCAGATCAAATCCTATCGACCAAGTTGCAATATGGCCACTAGACTAGGTGACTCAACATTGCATCCACTATATTAAAATATAATAATGATTGAAGATAGTTAACAGGAAACCCTGCACCTAGATTTCATGCAACTTGGTACTCATCAGCAAGGTGTACCAGTAATCTTGAGGGAACTGACATACATGACATTGATCACTACCCAGTGATCAATCAATTGTAAATGCATCTCAGTTCTACAGGAAGCTAGTTGCATCCCAGAAAGCTCACTGATAAAGTCTCTGACTATGAAACTGAGTGACACGTGATCAGATCCGTCAAGGAATATCAGTTCCCTCATGATTACAGGCACACCTTGCTGATCCGTGCCATGTAGCACAAAAGTGTACATCCATGCTTTCCTGTCGACCATCTCTACCCACCATCTAAACACTGATCAATTTGATTAGATTAAATATTCTAAAACTATTCATTCGGAACATTTAATGCTCAGTTGTTGTTGTTTTCTCCCTTTTTATTCGAGTTCTGTAAAAGGACACACACAAAAATAGTTTAAATAGTTTATAATCAGATTTCTCAAATGTTTGACAGAATAAAACAAAAAAAAAAGAAAATGAAATCAATCGGAGTTTTCTTCTTCTTCTCCTTCTTCTTCTTCCTCCCCGTTTTTCTCCCTTTTTATAAGTTTTTTCAAACATCTTTCATTTTCCCATCTTGTCTTGTCATTCAATTTTCATAACCTGTCAATTAATCAATATACAATTACATAATACTTCATTTCATATATATCTGATAATCATTATTATCAATATGAATGAAGATTACCTTTTTTGAATGCATTTCTTATATTGGTTTGCTTTTCTTCTTAAATGTGTTCATTTTTTGTTGATTTATGGTTTGTTCTATTTTATAGAATGACACCCCTCCACATACACACATACACACACTCACATATAATACAAGACCTTAGTAGTAAGAAGATTTAAAGATGATTCCAAAAAAAAGTGACTGAATAAAGCAAAGTAAGAAATGTTGATTAGAAAGGGGGTCAAATTAGCTCAGATAGATAGAACAAAACTCCATCAGAAAGAGTTATATAATATTCCATAAATTTCAATAGTTTCCCCCACCACCACCAATTCATATGAACACCGTTGGATGCCGGCTCAATGGTT